ATGTACCACATTCACAAAGAAAAATCGCTAAATTGCAAGCTTTCAATGCATGTAATTATACAGTAAATGCTAACTTGGTAATCATGAGTGTAGCTCTCCAGCTCAGAATACTAGAAACATGGGCTGTTTTTGTTTGAAATAAGGCAGACCTGCTGATCTTATTTTATTTTCAGGTGACTTTTGACTAAGCCTCTCAGGCCCTGTATTGATATGTGTAGGTCTGTACCAATTTATGCTGTACATGTTTATCTAATTGCTGACGAACAATTTATTTTTAGCATTAACAAACAGACCCATGGTGAATGTCACAACAAACATTCTTAGCTTGTCATACATACAATATTTTCATCTTTAACATGACTTCCAACACAGTTTCTACAGCTTTTGTCTGTTTATAGAATGAAAACAAAATCACACATGGAACTTCTGAATTGATTTCAGATTTCCTTTCCTCTGTATTACTCTACTTTAATATCGGGTTTTATCAGATATTGTTGGATACTCTTGCATTCTATGCTACACTAAGTTTGATGCTGCCTTTGATATCATTGACAAAAATGCAATCATGTATTTTGAAAAGAGAAAAAAAACCCTAATTAGGCTGAAATCTGAAACAATGAAATGAAGAGAAACAATTATATTTGTAATAGTTCCTACTTGTATGTGTAAATGGTACAGAATGGAAACAAGTATCTCTTTATTGCCATCGATTTGAACCAGCATAAAGTTTTAATTTCATTTTATTGTGGGTTGTTGGGTGTTGGGTAATGACAACCATCATGATATTCTTAACTATTGCATTTCTGCTGAAGCCATAAGATAGACAAGCAAAACTGTCCCACATGGTGTCCTCTTACTGACTCCAGACTTGCTGTACATAAATAAGCCGGCTGACCTTTACAGAAAAAGAAATGATTGTGTTCATCTGGTTTGAAATGATAAGTTGGTGAGCTGTAAAGGCTTTCACTGCACTGGTCTGGCTGGATGTATGGAAAATCAGACAGCAAAAAATCAAATTTGGGTCTCGCTGTTTTTTGTAATATACAAAAATTTTCTTAGATTTATATACACATTGAAATTACTACACACTACAAGCAATCCAATGATCCAATGAACAGAAGAACCTTGTAGAGTTATGGTTTTCTTTGTCCCTTGTAAACCTATTCGGCGAAACAAGGATTTTAAGCATACAGGTGGAAAATGGACTTGTGAGATGCATACTTTTCAATGAGAAGGTCTCCAAAGTACCATGACAATTTTTGTGTTTAAAATTTCCAATGCCAAAAACAAACAGCAAAAAGGCAAACAGTATTATGAGTTGGGGGACAGGGTTACAAAATTTTAAACATAAATTGTCGTTGTACTTAAGTAATTTTCTCAAACGAAAAATATGCATATCTTTTATTGTACAAGCACTAGTAGCTAATTTACAATCCCATTTTACACCCGATAGGGTGAGGGGACAAAAAAACATAAAATGCAAACTTACCAAGCATTAAAAAGGTTGGCACAATCAATGAGATAATTTTTGTTAAAAGAATGTGAAATAATGAATAATGCCAGTTTTATTTTCATACTTTCAGAGAATTATTATAAATGGCTTCACTAGATAAGGTAAGGTTGTACACTAATCAAAAGTTCCGCAAGGTGTCCTACCTGTAAATAAGCACTTTAATGGTGATGATTTCTTGTTGTAGTCCAACTAGTCAAGCATCCCAAATAGGATCAATCCGTAGTAAGATTACCTTTAATGTAGTGTTAACATTATTGTTACTCGTAGTTGGTTAAGGTATGAATATCAATGAGCAACATAGGACTTTTGTGGAACTTTAGAGTGGTGAAAGTTTGTATCAATACCATCCTTGTAATGTCAATCACTTGCATCAATGAGCATTTGAAAGGTTAAAGTCAAGTACAGCTATAACTACACAGACTGTTTAGCAGGTAGTCAGACTCTTGCAAAAACAAACACTGAAATCTGTGTAATAACAAGACTTGGTTGTAACTCTGTGTACACAGACCAGTGTCCGGGATAACAGGGCTGATTCTATTCATATCACTAAATTAATAAAATCATAGCTGTACGGTTTTACTACATTGCCTAATATACTAGGGGCAAATATAAGTGCTCTCTAGATTACAGGTGGTTTTTCAGTATGTATTTTGGCCATTTTCCTCCTCCCCCAGGTTGACCCCTATCCTGTCATGCTGACTCCTACACTATTTGATTGGCTCCTATCTTATCAGATTGACTCCTACCCTACCTGGTCAACTCTCAACCACTTCGATTAATTTGTATCCTATCCTATCGACTCCTGTGCCACTGGATTAACCCCTATCTTATCAGATTGACTTCAATCATGTCAAATTGACTGCAATATGCTATGCTATGTATAAGTGCTATGCTAGGTTATGCTATGCTATGCTATCTTATCCTATCCTATCAGATTTACTTTAATCCTGTCAGATTGGCTCCGACTCTGTTGGCTGACACCCCCCTCCCATCCTCTCTGATGGACTTCTGTGATTTCAAATGGGCTTGTTCCTCTCAGATTGACTCCAATACTGTCAGATTGACTCATGTCCTATCAGGTTGACCCTCATCCCCTGAGAGTGACTCCTATGCTGCCAGTGTGACTCATGTCCAATTTGACTTGTATCCTGTCAGATTGACACATATCCTGTAATAGTGAATCCTACCCTGCCATGTTGCTGCATGTCCAATTAAATAGAAAACTACCAGGATGACTCATTCCCAATCAGGTATATTCACAACTGCTTATATGACAAAGTTAGACCTGACAAGTTCGATAAATGTTAATACTATTATCATTGACAGATCTGACACAAAAATGCATGTGTGCAACATCAACATGTATCACAATGCAGTATTGTTAAAAACACTCACAATGTAAAACAATAATTTACAAATAAGCTAGTGTTGTATAACAACAACATAACAGTAGTGTAATGTTCAGCAGCTCAATCACACATTGTACAACAATAAGACATTTTGTTACAAAAATATTACATTGTTCAACAATTTAATTAAGTAAATAGAGCCAAAGTCAATATCAGGTAAGTGGTTTCTTCAATGGACCTCTTCACTTGAGCTTGGATATCAAAGGTATGCAGGGCGATTAACGAAATATTAAATATAAGACCGTTAGAGAATTAATCGCAACAAGAACAAGTGTCACCAGTTAGTGGGTACCTTACTTAATTGTCTACTAGTTTCGCCTCTATTCGAGGCTTCATCAGGACAGGGGGCTAAAATGTGTAAAAAAATTGTTCAACAATAGTACAATGTTAAATGCTGTACAAAACTAATACATTTTGTAACAAGAATAGTTATGTTCCTCTCTATCACCTATCAAAATGAGAGTTATCATTATCAAACAAAAATTTTCTTTAAATAGTTGTTTACCAGTATTATAGTTATGTCAATAAATTTCAACAAAAATCCCTGATGTCTCTACCCTAGCTATATTTTTTTTACAGTGGCCAGAATTGTGCTGTGTTTGATCAATTACAGAGTTGTACTATAAAACACTTGATAAGACAGAATCTACACCTGTGGAGTGATGTATTATGTCACCATAGAAATATATGTATACACAGCCAGTTGTTTATCTATATAACACTGTTGCATATCATACTCGTGGAAGAGAGTGAGGCAAATAGTCTGTTCTCAATTGACATTTAACATGCGAGTCCATACACTTATACTTCAGCAAAGAATGCTTATTACAGCAAACAAAACAGAGTCATTTAATATAAATTGACCAAAGATATTTCTAACTGGATCTCTTTTCCTGTCTATGGATTTATTTGTCATCTGGATATGATATTGTGAGTCTGGTAAATACTTTAGTCTAAAAGATGAAAAAAAAAAAAAATAAATTTTCAATAAGGTTAACAACTAGAATTTCAAACTATAGTTATACCTCTGTTGTAGATATCAGAGTTATCAAACAGATGACTGTATGAATTTCAGAAAAGGATGTGAAATATTTGTTCAAGTTGAAAGCAGAATGGCATTGAAAACGGACAAAGTGATGAGAAAGAAAAAATTGAAATCATGATTAGATAAAAGAACATATTTCACTTATGATGTTTGATAGTTGAAATTACAGCAGTAATAATTCTTGGTTATAACTCAGAGTAGGGAAAACTTAATTACAAAACATAAAGATAAAATGATTATACATGGAAATTTGATACAAATCTAAAAGGGTGACAAAACAACAGATTTAATTTCAGTATGGTTTTAGTGATGGAGTTCAAAACTGTAACGAAGGTCAGAAAAAATATCAAATTTAAAAAAAAATAACAAAACTGCACCAGATCTGACTTACTTAGTTAATAGAAAGTGATTTGGAAACTTAACATCAAAACGAAATTGAAAAAAAAATGATGGACTAATTGTTGCATGTGGACATGCAGATCTATCGATTGCTTTGTACCATCTTTTTGTTGCCCAATAGTACTAGATACATATTTCCCTTTATGGTTATTTCATATTTAACTTGGGTTTGACGAATTGATTAAATCTCTTGAGTTGGTGTGTAGAGAGCACTCGTAATTGTGTGTAATAACTTGTCTCGACAGACAATATTTTCAAGTCGACGATATACTTATAATGCCGGTTGTGCTCGCTCTACCTGAACGGAGTTTTTCCAACGGTAGCGCGTAGTCTATTTTTAGCACACCTCTGATGCAGCAGCTGCGTGACTGCTATCTGCCATTCCATGAGTTTGCCGGTGAGATTTTGTTCAATGGGCGTTTAATCTATGTAAATGAGCGTAACACTGCTGCTCAAACTGACCCTCGGAACCTGACAGACAATTTCGTTTCCTCATGTTATGATACCCGGCTAACGAATGTCCAGGATTAGACGAGATCGGAGGACAGTTAGGCCTAGTGCGCTGCTCCCACCAAGACCCAAATAAACGTTAGCCTTCTAGTGAAAACCCGACTTACATCAACACCGGTGAAAATTTCACATACACAACATGGCGGACCCCGGAGAAGGAGGGGGCTCGGAGCAGGATGATATCTCATTTCTCCGAACGGTATGTATGTGGCTTCATCAAAGGAATTAAACTACCGTACATGTATGTAATCTTCAAAAATCATCGATTTCTTTTATCAAACTGCCTTTGACATTTTTACGTGCAACGCACGTGCATGCATGTCCGTCGTCTGCCAAAGTCGATTATTTTATCGTTTGAGGTCGTTCACGGGTACGTGCAAGAGTGTGTGTGTGATGGAAATTGTTTAAAAATGAGCTGAAACTCGTGTTGCCGTTGATTCTCTTTAAAGAAATACATAAACGCTGATCTTAGTATGAAATGAAAGTAGTCTGTATACATTTAAGATGAAAGCTTCATAAAAATATGTCAGGAATAAGATATACTTTCAAATTCAGATACTTTCAAATTAAAAAAAAGTATCATATTGAACACGGATGCTTTAATTCTTATTACTGTCTTACTTTCTGTGATATTTTCTAGGATTTTGATAAATCTTGCTTAATATGGCAATGTTGATGATGATTATGATAACATTGAGATGATTATTGAAAACAAGTAGGAGTAAGCTTGTGTAATAGATCCATATGCCCCTAATGAACAGAGGCACATCATGCCACACCAATGTAAACAATTAGCAGTGGGCTGTTGAAGAGAGAGCCTTCATAATGCTGTGATACATGATCAGATAAGAAGTAGGAGAGAGAAGTAACTGGATCAGACTATCACACTGTCTGTGGGGGTAATTAACAGTAACTCAGCCTGGTAATTACAGCTCCCTCAGCTGATAAATTCGTTAGATTGATTGTTGATGATCCAATACTGGATGTGTGACTTGGTGTTTTTTACCAATCCTTGTTCTTCACTGTTAATATGGATTACATGATCTTAAATGACCCTACACACTGATTTGTCAGAAGTCATACTGAATCAGTTAAGTAAAATAACTTATACTGGGTTGTTTTGAACATTGATGTAGAAAAAGCTATCACTGGGTATGGTTAATATTGATGTACAACAACCCTATAGTGGGTTTTTTGAAACACACATACACTGAACATATTGGTTTCTTAAACCCTGTTTTGTTTTTTGAATATGTGCAAAACTTAAAAGGACCTAGGTTTTTTTTCTATTTCCCTTCCTATTTTTTCTCACATTATTACTCAGCCAAATCATCTGAATAAGATTTTTGAAAAAGTCCAGAGCTCAAAATAACCTTATCCTTGATTATATGACACTTAGACTGAATCAATGTTTAATATCCCTTATGAATTATATAACCATTAAAAAAATTACTGAAAGAAAAATCTCAATCCAACAGTAACACCTTTACCAGGTCAAATTAAAATTTACTTATAGAAAAAACTGCTCAGGTATTAGGACAAGCAGTTACGATATTGTAATTTGTAGGGTCCCATTATAGAAAAACTCTTCAAAGTGTTCCTAGTGTAGAAAATCTGAGAGGTTACCTGGGGTATGACCTTAACTATTTAACTATGATCCCATTGTAAGAAAAGGAAAATGGCTTCAGTTAAGATTTTTTGAAAAACCATGGAATCCTTTAAACTTTAAATGATCCTAATATTGCAAAGATGAAATGTCTTCAAATATGTGAGACTTTGTAGGAGTTCCAAATATGGATAATTTTTTAAAACTTTTACAGTGGAAAGCTGTAAAAAGCCAGAGGATGCACTCTGTGAGATTACAATGTAGCAATATCATGATAGGATTCAGTCAGAGGATACAAGATGGTTATATGATATAAATTACAACCTGTGGAACATAATAGTGTGTATGTGTAGAACGTTCAGAGGCATAATGAATACAAAAGTTACAAATGTTTCATTAGCATGTAGAAAGGTCCAAGTCGTTGAACCTGTCTAACAACCACTTTTAAAGCATGCTAAATTGTGTATCAACTATCTGTAAAAGTTTGCCAGTTTGTAATTTCTGTAAATAATTCCCAGTATGTGATTACCAATAGGTCACAATATTTTGATTACCAGTAGAAGTTCCCAAAGTGTGATTACCAATAGGTCACAATATTTAGATTACCAGTAGAAGGTCCCAATGAGTGATTACCAATAGGTCACAATATTTTGATTACCTGTTAAGAAGGTGCCAAAGTGTGATTACCAATAGGTCACAATATTTAGATTACCAGTAGAAGGTCCCAATGTGTGATTACCAATAGGTCACAATATTTAGATTACCAGTAGAAGGTCCCAATGTGTGATTACCAATAGGTCACAATATTTTGATTACCAGTAGAAGGTTCCAATGTGTGATTACCAATAGGTCACAATATTTTGATTACCTGTTAAGAAGGTCCCAAAGTGTGATTACCAATAGGTCACAATATCTGATTACCTGTTAAGAAGGTCCTAATGTGTGATAACCAATAGGTCACAATATCTGATTACCTGTTAAGAAGGTCCTAATGTGTGATTACCAATAGGTCACAATATTTGATTACTAGTAAAAGGTCCCAATATGTGTTTACGAGTAGAAGGTCCCAATATGTGATTACCAGTGGAAGGTCCCAATATATGATTACCAGTAAAAGGTCTCAATATGTTAGTTCAAGTAGAAGGTCCCAATATGTGATTACAAGTAGAAAGTCCCAATATGTGATTTCTTGTAAAAGGTCCCAATATGTGATTTCCAGTAGAAGGTCCAAATCTGTGATAACCAGCAGAAGGTCACAATGTGTTTCAAGATTAATGGTAGAAGATCTCAGTGGCAATAAATATGTAATCACCAGTTGAAGGTACCAATTTGTCATTTGTAGTGACAGGATCCAAGGTGTAATTACTTGCAACAGGCTCTAATTTGCATTGATGTTTTCAGTAAAAGTTCATAAAGCATAACTGCTGCTGGGAGAACTAGTCCCCAATGTGCAATGGTCTGAAAGCGTATCTACTGTTGGGAGAACTAGTTCCCAATGTGAAATGGTCTGAAAGTATATCTACTGTTGGGAGAACTAGTTCCCAATGTGAAATGGTCTGAAAGTATAATTACTGTTGAAAGTACAAGTGTAACTACTGTTGGGAGAACTAGTTCCCAATGTGAAATGGTCTGAAAGTGTATCTACTGTTGGGAGAACTAGTTCCCAATGTGAAATGGTCTGAAAGTATATCTACTGTTGGGAGAACTAGTTCCCAATGTGAAATGGTCTGAAAGTATAATTACTGTTGAAAGTACAAGTGTAACTACTGTTGGGAGAACTAGTTCCCAATGTGTAATGATCTGAAAGTGTAACTACTGTTATGAGTACAAGTGTAACTACTGTTGGGAGAAGTGGTTCTCAATGTGTAATGATCTGAAAGTGTAACTATTTATGAGAGTACAAGTGTAACTACTGTTGGGAGAAGTAGTTCCCAATGTGTAATGATCTGAAAGTGTAACTACTGTTGTGAGTACAAGTGTAACTGCTGTTGGGAGAAGTAGTTCCCAATGTGTAATAGTACAAGTGTAACTATTGTTGGGAGAAGTAGTTCCCAATGTGTCATTATCTGAAAGTGTAACTACTGTTATGAATAAAAGCGTATCTGCTGTTGGGAGAATTAATTCCCAATGTGTAATGATCTGAAAGTGTAACTACTGTTGTGAGTACAAGTGTAACTACTGTTGGGAGAAGTAGTTCCCAATGTGAAATGATATGAAAGTGTAACTATTTATGAGAGTACAAGTGTAACTACTGTTGGGAGAAGTAGTTCCCAATGTGTAATGATCTGAAAGTGTAACTACTGTTGTGAGTACAAGTGTAACTACTGTTGGGAGAAGTAGTTCCCAATGTGTAATGATCTGAAAGTGTAACTATTTATGAGAGTACAAGTGTAACTACTGTTGGGAGAAGTAGTTCCCAATGTGTAATGATCTGAAAGTGTAACTACTGTTGTGAGTACAAGTGTAACTACTGTTGGGAGAAGTAGTTCTCAATGTGTAATGATCTGAAAGTGTAACTACTGTTGTGAGTACAAGTGTAACTACTGTTGGGAGAAGTAGTTCTCAATGTGTAATGATCTGAAAGTGTAACTACCGTTGTGAGTACAAGTGTAACTGCTGTTGGGAGAAGTAGTTCCCAATGTGTAATGATCTGAAAGTGTAACTATTTATGAGAGTACAAGTGTAACTACTGTTGGGAGAAGTAGTTCTCAATGTGTAATGATCTGAAAGTGTAACTATTTATGAGAGTACAAGTGTAACTACTGTTGGGAGTACAAGTGTAACTACTGTTATGAGTAAAAGCGTATCTTCTGTTGGGAGAAGTAGTTCCCAAATATGTAATGGTCTAAAAGTGTAACTACTGTTGTGAGAACTGGTTTCTATTTGGTAATGGTCCGAAATCGTAACTGCAATTTGGAGTTAAGATCCCAATGTGTAATGGTTTCAATGTGTATCATCTGGTGGGAATAACGGTTCTCAATGTACCAATGAACATGAACCATTTTTGGTTGAATGGGATATGCTGCAATAATTGTAATATATTGCCTATTTTGTCATTGCTATAGTTCTTATTTCACATGTATAAAAATCTATCTTATGTCATTGATAAATGATGTCAGAAATGCCATGTTTGCCATCTTAAAGGGTACACATGTCATTTCTTTTTATAAGTTTAGTGAGAAATAGGATGTTGAATCCAAGGTCAAATTAAAAATTGAATTTTTTAAATTGATTATGCCTTTCTTTAAAAGTTCATGTCATGTTGAATTACAATGTACTGTAATGATTTTGTTATTAAATTTAATATGACATGGACAATCCTGTACAATCATCTACTGGTTGTCATGGCAATTCCTATTTTCTGAAACATAACATTAGTGATGATTAAATTTATTGATTCTGGTGAAAAATGTTGATTTTTGTACAAGGAGTGTAAAAGTGATATCCATCCACATGCAATGTACACACAAAATATGACCAATCACGGTCTACTGTTTACATGCAGTGTTGTTTGTTATTAAAGTATAAATGATGGAAATGAGAGGAAGTTTTACTGACTCGAGAGCTTTGTCTGATTGGTTTTGATTTGACCATTTCTAAAATGCATCGAGAGTTAATGCTTTTCTGCTATGTACTGGTGATTGATAAAGGGCCGTTAATCTGCAAAATCACAAGCAAATTTTCTAGAAAATGTTTTCATGATAAATGTCATAAAGTTGTGTAAAGTGGACAAAATATTGTACATTATCTTATTCAGTATATAGGATTACAATACTAAATATATATATAAAAAATCAACCCTGGACAGTTTTGTTGGACTATAAATAAATCTACAAGTTATGTTCAATCAAAAAAGAATAGTTCAACATTTCCATTTAAAACTATAAAAAATATGACTGTTTACCTCCAAATTGGAGCTACATTTGGAACCCTGTAGAACAGCTGTATACAATGGCTTGATTAAACCCCAACTTCGGGAGTTTTAGTGTATAAAGTGTTACTCATTCTAATCATCAAAATGATTGATTTACAAATATACTGTATATTTCTTATCAAATTATGATTTAATGATTAAGTGGTAACTTTACTCATTAGTGCAGGTCTTGAAAAAGAGATTGTCAGTTTACATTTTCACACTTACATAGAGAGATATCAAAGTTTATGCTAAAATCTAACCTTGTCCTGATCACAAAGCTCTGTTCATACATCAGATTCTGACATTATATACACACTTTGCAAATGGCTAATATGAACTCATATATTCTCCAGTACAATGAAGGTCCATCTGTGGTGTAAAAGACAGAAAAATCAATTGAAATAATCTCAAATTTTACAAGCATATCATTGAACACATTTACATAGTATATATCACCAGTGGTAAACTACACATTCCTCTCAGTACTTTAGAAGAAAACTGTACATTGTTAATCAATGGTGGAGCAATTTTAAAGTTTTCATTTGGCTGTGATTTGCGTCATTAGTGATCAGTCTTCTACAAGCTTGTCACGAAAGTGAGTAGACAGTGTGTTTTCACCAATTGCCTTTTTGTCGTTGAGACAATATAAGGTTCTGTTCTCAATGGTTCACAGTGTGCATCTGTAGATCTGTACATAAGATAGTAGGAAAAGCTCCTGAGCATCAGAAAACACTTTACACATACCTAGGTACTGGGCCTGGCTTGGCAAATCAGCCATAATATTTTGAATAGCTCCTACCACACATGCAGTACAAACAATGTACAAATGAGATATATATGTAAGAGGCAGAACATTGGCTTCTGTAGAAAGTTGTACAAAATGTACACAAACATATAGATGATATCATCTCATAGAAAAAAAATATCTGGATTTGATCACTTTTTGTGTATCATTGCTTCCAAGAGACTGTCTCTGGGAGCCTTAAGTACAGGGGTCTGGCAAAGGGAATAGAAGATAACATATAGATGTTTAGTCATGAAATTCACAACCAGACGATTCACTATAAGTATAACAGACAATGTGTTCTAGGTTTTGACAGCCATGCATTGAACAGTTGCTCTTTCAGTCACATATGGTTGGCTAAAGTAGATACCATCAGCATTTGGTGGAGAACACCATACTACAGGTATTTCTTCTGAGATAATATCCTGTTGTAGCCTCTTTGTGATCCAGTCCTTCTCCCAGGGAACCTTAATGATACTGATGTTGAGTCCCCATGGGGATCCTCTCACTGTAGGAAGAGTCTGGCAGATAGCATGTGATTCTCCTTACCACTGGCCTGGGTAGGCCTCCCATACAAGGATAGGCAGGTACTGATACCAACAGTATTCTATGACTGGAAGGCCTAACCATGTTGCAGCACTGTTTCCAGTGTCAAATTTCTTAATTTTCTTTCCCCTTTCAATATGAAAAAGAAATTTTATTAGAAACAAGAAGACTTATCAAGTTTTAGTGATGTGTGTAGCAAAGTATTAATGATTATCTGCATTTTAATTACAAATATGATTTATTTATTATCATAACTTGGACTTATAGTTCAATTATAGACTTTTGTATTACATACAGTATAAACATACAGACATTCCATTTGCTATACACTATTCTAAAAAAGTGTCTTTTACAGTCAATTCATTAGTTCAGGTGAGAATATTCAAGGTAGATTTATCCTTCTACAGGAAATTCATTATTATATCAGGTGAGAATATACAATGTAGATTTATCCTTCTACAGGAAATTCATTATTATATCAGGTGAGAATATACAAGGTAGATTTATCCTTCTACAGGAAATTCATTATTATATCAGGTGAGAATATACAATGTAGATTTATCCTTCTACAGGAAATCCATTATTATATCAGGTGAGAATATACAATGTAGATTTATCCTTCTACAGGAAATTCATTATTATATCAGGTGAGAATATACAATGTAGATTTATCCTTCTACAGGAAATACATTATTATATCAGGTGAGAATATACAATGTAGATTTATCCTTCTACAGGAAATTCATTATTATATCAGGTGAGAATATACAATGTAGATTTATCCTTCTACAGGAAATCCATTATTATATCAGGTGAGAATATACAATGTAGATTTATCCTTCTACAGGAAATCCATTATTATATCAGGTGAGAATATACAATGTAGATTTATCCTTCTACAGGAAATTCATTATTATATCAGGTGAGAATATACAAGGTAGATTTATCCTTCAAAAGGACATATGTAATAATAAGTGTTAAAATTAAATGTTAGTTTATTTACAAGTTTAACTTAGAGAGTTTGGTTTTTGAATTAAATGATCTCTACTGAATTAAAAGTATTGTTAAAGCTACAAAGTTGTTTCTGCACTAAATGCATGTACTGTGCATTAAGATAGAATGATCGAAACCACTGGAAAATGTAAACAAACTCATCCAGTGGCATTGTGGCTTCAATTTCAAAACAAGTACTTGTACATAATGCAATGTGTATAAGAATAACATATAGATTGCCAAGGCATGTATACAAAGTTTACATAGTAACCAGAGGAATAAAGCAGAATGAAATTAGGACAAAATTAACAATTAAAGTTGCGTTAAAACCAGTCCATGACTACATCATACGGTCATGTGACATAAGAAATTTATGTCTTTGTGTAGGTGCTATCAACTGTGTCAATATCTTAAGCAAGGTATGTAGTTTCAGTTAATTTTTTATTTTTTTTTTACAAGTCTTGTGGAAGTGCTTGTATTTTATTACCTATGAGCTGCATTATACATATATTTCTTGCGTAGAAAGTGAAGCCAGTGTGTGTGGATGTCAAGACTGACCTTACATGAACTATTATACAACTTGTATATACTTTTTTGTTGTTGTTCCTGTTCTCGTGTGATTAGCTGCGTCTCCAGATAGAAGGGATATCAATGGGAGTGATTTTCCAAATATTTCTGTAAACTTCCCAACTGTTACTATCTCATTGTAATAATGTGTTAATGAGTTCATATCATATTACTCTGGAAAGCTGACATACCAAAGTTTTGATGTGGATTAAATTACCCCTCTCCTTATATCTAAGTAGTGTTTATGTATATTTATAGACTTATTGTATAATGAAATATCAAGGTCAAGGAAGGTCAATAGTGTCTTAAAAACATGTATAAAATGAAAGATGGTAATCAAGATGCATGGAGATAACCATGGTATCTGGTTTTCCTTGTCATCTTGTACACAAGTTTGCTGTGTATATATAACAAACAACATCAGCCAGTCTGCCAAATTCCATGCAGAAATAGCCATAGGCAACTATTTCCAGATGTTGGGAACAAAAACCTTGAATCAGGATGAGACCACAAATGAGTACTTAACTCAGTGACTAATTTATTCTTGAAAGATAAATTGATAAACTTTGTGCACTCCTGGGGATAAACATTGCCAATGTTTTGTTTTTTTTATGGATTGGACAGCAATATATGGGGTACTTTACACATGTAAACATGTTACCTGGAAATCATGAAAGTTTCACTGATAAATCTGGCACAGATAAGGAAAATTTACCTAAACTTCATAGATATATGTCCTTTATGAGGCACATTGGAACATACAGGTAAATTATGGCTTGTGTGAATAGTGTATATGCTTAAGTACCCTCGAAGTCTGAGGTCATTAAACATTATGTTAGCATACATTACTGTATCATTTCAGTATAATTACATCTGTGGCTTACTAATAATTAATTAGAAATTGTCACTTCTTTAACATATTGGGCTGACTAGTTGACAGTAAAAACAAGGGTCATGAATTGTCCATCAAGAATGAAGTGGACAATTGAGAAATATTGTGGCAGCCAAATCCTGTGTAAATGAATTTATCTTTTTATTGGTTCTCCCAGGCTGTGTTTATCCTGTTGTTGTGTTGGAAAGAACAGATTGCCACTCATGTTATTGATATGGTGCTGTCTATCAAAGTGGTCAGCTTTGTAATCACTCAGCTGACCAGTGTAAAACAAATTTATTTGCTTCAATAGAGTGCTATGATGTTTAACGAAGAGCTAATCATACAGCAGCTGTGTAGCCTCCCAAAGCTGTGGAATAATTAGTTAATGTGGAGGATGGATCCACCATCATTGGTGGTTTAAAGGCCTGGTATGGCACATGGGAAGGATGGTCCCTGTGATACACCAGCATCTCAGCAGTTTCCTACTCTCATGTGGGGACCATTACCTGAAATCCTGTGCCTTACATAGTAAAGTTTGTAGAAACTTTCAGGACTTCTGTTTTACATGAAAGGGAGATAAGCTATAAGAGAAATGTTGCTGGGTGTACTGTAGGGGCAGGGTACCAATCTAGTTGTGGTATGATAATGAAATCAATCATTTCTGTAGCACAGGATGACAACAATGGTCTTGTTGATGAACTTCTCAAGATTTAAGAAGAAATTGTTGGATTAATTATTCAAAATTTCGGAGATTTCTTTTTCATTATTTTACGTTGTCGTAATTAGCTTTTTCAGTGACAGTTGTGATGAAAATATTCCATTTAATTAGTTTTTTGCAGTTCTTAGAAATTTTGATTAAAATCATGATAAATCTTACAAAAATCTGTTATCCGCATAGTGCCAATAAGATCTCAAAGAAATGACTAAGGTAGAAAGGTAACCTTATAGAAAACATGATTCCAGATTTTAAGGTAATGTGTTGTGTACAGGTATGTGAGTGTAACGGGAGCTGTATAGGAGTGCTGCTTGTCATGGGTTTGTATTTGAGCAACTTGTGAAAAACAATCCATACCACTTCACACTCTTAAGTAGAAGTGGAGTACCATATACAGCTGGAGTTCAGAGTGCTATTGCTGCAGTATTGGTAATGACAAAAGGAAAACTGTGGAGTGTAACCATTATCATAGTTTTAACACTTGTAGACTAGTGATAGTTACATGTGCTTGATAGAGATATTTTTCTATCATGACATTGTAGATCTGGTTGAATACAATATGTAGTAGTCTATAGATGATAGATAAATAATCAGAAAAAAATATATTTTCATTTTTCCATTTTGAAGGTGCAAAAGAATCTGAATGAAACTGAATGAAAAATTGCGAATGAATCTATGGTTTGAATGTTAATAGGTTTTGATTCAAAGTTTCATTACTTGAACATGATCCTCGATCACTGGTTGCTGTTATATCTGGAGATGGTTCAGAGCCAGCAGGAGATCAAGAAAATATTGTTAGTAAATACACTGATTTTCAGTACTGGTTCTAACCACAGGGGTCTGTAATAATGTTTGTAGGGGATAAGGGCTTGTATGGTATACTATAACTAATATGATATAACATACAAGTCCTGACCCCCTAGAAATATTGTTACAGGACCCTGTTGTTTTATTATGAATATGCAGGAATCACATTTATTTATGTATTGACAATTTATTAGTGTGAGATGTAAATTGAGAAAAGTACAGTTAGGTGTTCATGTGAGAACACAGTATTAACAGGAGAATTGCGGTGATATTGTGTATTAATATTTCATCAGCTTGTGTCTAGGTGAACGCAAATGTCCTGAACGGTAATTATGAGTAGGGTATACAAAAACTCCCCTCATTTCACTAATACCTATATAATTAGTTGGCTGCAAAAATGTTTTGGTTGAGAAAATTCTTCCCCATGGAGATAAGGAGGCTGATGGAATATCAATGTGGAGGATTCCTCTACCAAGTTCATATACAGAATGCCCGTACATTTTAACATACTATGTTATCGGCAACGTAGTGTCATCTAGTGCCATTTTGATAACGAAATCCTCCAGATGTATTTCAAATTTTGAATATAAATTTGCATTTAAAATGTTAGTGATCTATTACTGGTAAGTTATTTCCCAAGGTTTTTATCTAACTTCTGTAGATGATATCCGTTGTTATTGTGTACATTCAATTATTACAAGGGAAGTATTACATTAACACTTGCAAAAGAGAAATTCTAGCGTTCAAATATATATTCCGGTATTAATTATTCATGACACATTGTCAGTTTTCAATTTGTTCTAGTCACAGTTATTTGCATATTTTAACCTACTGTCATCACATGTTGGACTGTTAAAATCTGTCTTCGTCCATTGTTCATCATCTGTCCATCTTTAAACAATTCTTGTTATCACTATTTCTTGAGAAGTTTGATTAAATCATTACTATATCTCCTGTGTACAAGTTTTCCATGGTCCCTGATTGTGCATTGTTTATTTTTGGACTGATTGGAATCTTGGATTTTGACAGCTACAGATTGTTATCATAATTTATTGAGAAGTACTGGATGGATAATTCTTCTTTTTCATGCATAGGATCCCCTTGGTCTCTAGAATGTGAGTTGACTTATCAGGAAAAACAAAATGGCCGTCAGGCTGCATGTCTTTGATGGTT